CACCTCAGCCTCCCAAAGGCGCGGGATTACAGGCTGAGCCACCGAGCCTGGCTCATTCATGCCTTTTTTAGTCAAAAACTGCTGAACACTCAGCAAGTGTGGGCAGGTGCATTGTCAAGGCAGAAGAACCAGTCACCTGTTTGACGCAACTTGGGATGTTTCTTCAGCAACACAGCCTCTCACAACAATGCTAGCCGGTCCATTGATGCTAATGGGTTCCTAGAACACTAACCTAGGAAGAAAGCCTATACCACAAGGGGGCCTGCCCTCCAAAGATAATTCCAGGGTTTTTGGGGGTCCTCTGCATACTCCCCTCGCCTAGATACATCTGCTCCATCACAGGTATATCCTCACCTGGTCCAGAAGCACTGCCTATAAGTATATGGTAGATATAGCTATCCATTAAGCATGCCCTCATAGCCTGGTCATTCCTGTGTATCAGACAGTCACCTGGCCAGACACACTCTCACCTGTCCACAATTACATATGCACCTTCCTGGAACCCCTGACCACAAGGTAACTCTCACCTAGGCTTGACACCTCACCTATCCATTAGGTGTGTTCATTGCCGCCATGTACTTTTGCTGGCCTAGATACACCTGTCCACATGTACATTCCCTCCTTGTCCAGGCAGCCTACTTCATAGGTACATGCCCAACCGTTCCAGACAGCCCTGGCCAGGTATATACTCTCAAGTTGGTCTGGATACTTCTGTCTGCAGGGACATACTCCTGACCTGCACACTTGTGCTTGGCTAAACAGCTGGGCACTTCAACCACAGATATATATTCTTCTGGCCCAGACACCCGACTCTAATCACCTAACCTGGACCCTCCTACCCACAGGTACATCTATACCTGGCCTATACTCTCACCTGGGCCAGACATTCCTGTCCACCAGGTACACACCCTCACCTGACCCATCCCATCACCTAGCCCAGAAATCCACTCTACCCCCACTGTAGAGAGCCCTGTGTGTCAGGTACACACTGAGATACCCTAAATCCCTTTACCTGCATGGATACCCTTATCTTCCTTGGACAAGCTTATGTGGCAGGTACACCCTCACCTGGTCTGTACAATCTCACATCCCTGACATCCTTACCAGGCTTGGCACCTTCCCCTGACCCATATACTTTCACCCGCTTTGGACAGGTGTATGTAGCAGGTACACTCACTCAGCTGACCTACAAGCCATCACCTAGGATATTTTCACCTAGGCAGGTCTCCCTAGTGGACCCAGACAGCCCTGACCACAGGCACAACTCAGCAGACTTGCATATATATTCAACCTTCCACTAAGTACACCCTCACTTGCTTTCCTGTACAAACTCATAGAGTTCAGACACATACATGATCCAGATACTCTTATCTTACCTGACTTGAACCCTCACCTGAACCATATCACCTTTACCTGACCTGACTGTAGTCATGCGACCTGAGCACTTTTACCTGGTCCAAGTGCTCTCACCTGGCCTGGGCACATGTTCCACAGATGCTTCGCCTACCCTGGACCTGTTCACTGGCCCAAACACCCCTTTCTAGCCAATACCCCCCTCACGTGACCTCCTTGTATTTTTTTTTTTCTTTTTTTTTTTGAATTGGAGTCTCACTCAGTTGCCCAGACTGGAGTGCAGTGGCCGCTCCCGGCCACCGCAGCCTCGACCTGCTGGGCTCCAGCGATCCTTCCCCCTCAGCCTTCCAAGTAGCCGGAACTACAGGCGCGCGCTACCACGCCCGGCTCATTTTTTGATTTATTGTAGATATGAGGTCTCGCCAAGTTGCCCAGGCGGGTCTCGAACCCGCAGGCTCAGGCAGTCCACTCATCTCAGCCTCCCAAAGGCGCGGGATTACAGGCTGAGCCACCGAGCTCAGCTTCCTTGTATTTCTTATACAACTTAACAATTAATGTTCCTTCACCTGGAGGAAACCCCATCACCTGACCTGGATACCTTCGCTGACCTGTCAGCACTGCCCTCTGCCTAGGGTTGAATCTCTGAAGCCCGGCTGCTCATGACAGAGCTCCAGCCACCAACCTCTGGTCCTGTGTCCCCACAGCCCATCAAGCGGGACTTGATCCTGACCCCCAAGTGTGTGTATGTGATTGGGCGAGAGAAGGTGAAGAAGGGACCTGAGAAGGGCCAGGTGCATGAAGTCTTGAAGAAGAAGTTGGACATTCAGGCTCTCCGAGGAGTCGCCCTCAGGTGATGCCAGGCCCTTACCTGTCCCCTAGCTGCCCTCATACTGTCTCCACCTGTAACCCTGACAACCTTACCTGCTGCTACACCTGCAGCCCTCTCTTGGCCCTACCTGTTGCATCCATCTACTCCTACACTCATGATCCTTACTTGCCAACAGTTCCTGGCCCACACCTTATTCTCTTACTAGACCTCACCTGGCCCACTTCTGTCACCACCATTCCCAGCCCTTGCCACTGCCTCCCTTTTTTCCCACCTGTGTCACCACTCACATGCCCCTGACCTAACACACTCCTGTCTCATCTCACAAGTCTGTTCTTCAGCCCCCGTCATCTGGCTCTCTCGCCCGTAGCTCTCACCCGAGCCTCCCCTGTAGCTCTCACCTGCCTTTCCTCCCGTCCCTCCCCAGCACGCGGCAGGACGACTTCTTCATCCTCCAAGAGGACGCTGCCGACAGCTTCCTGGAGAGCGTCTTCAAGACCGAGTTCGTCAGCCTCCTGTGCAAGCGCTTCGAGGAGGCGGCGCGGAAGCCCCTGCCCCTCACCTTCAGCGACACGTACGATCGCCGCCCCCGGCGCCTCTCCTGCCCCAGGGACCCGCCCTCCCGCCCGGCCCAGCGAAGACGGGGTGGGGAGGGGGACCCCGCTGGAGCCCCCAAGCTTCCTCCTCTCCCTACAGACTACAGTTCCGGGTAAAGAAGGAGGGCTGGGGTGGAGGCGGCACCCGCAGCGTCACTTTTTCCCGCGGCTCCGGCGACGTGGCCGTGCTCAAGGCTGGGGGCCGGGCCCTCACGGTCAGCGTGGGAGACGGGCTGCCCAAGAACTCCAGTGAGTCTGCGCGGAACCGGGGGCGGAGCCGAAGAGGCTCTCAGGAATAGGCGGGGCCGGAGGAAGGCGGGGCCAGAGAAGAACCAATTACACGTGTGGGGGCGGAGCCAACGAGGCTGGTCCTTAGTGGGCGGGGACCACGAAAGGGCGGTTTCAGAGAGAGAGGTTGTAGCCAATGAACGGGCGAGAAACATGAAGAGGCGCGGCCGGAAAGGCCACGCCTGGGTCAGTCTAATTAATGAGGGCGGGTCCTGGAGCGTGAGGACCAATGAGGGGCGGGGTCGGTGCCTGGGCGGAGCCTGTGTAACGGAGGGGGCAAATGCTGATAGCGGAGCCAGTGCACTTGAGGGGGCAGAGCCGCAAAATGAGCTGAGCTTTCGGGCTGGGCTAAGAGCCTGGTCTGGTCTGGCCACCGCTCAAATCCCTGCATCCTTTCCCTTTCAGAGCCTACACGGAAGGGAATGGCCCAGGGAAGACCCCGGAGGTCGGCCCAGGCCCCAACTCGGGCGGCCCCCGGGCCCCCTAGAGGTGAGGAGACGCCCCTCACCAAGTGTCTTCCCTTGCCTAAGCCGGACCTCTCCAGTCAACAGAATCTAACAAGCACAGCTTCTCTATAGAACTCTCCATAGCGCCACATCCCCCTCAGAATAAAGGCTGGGCTTGGTTGGACAGTCAAAGCCCTTCAAACTCCAACCCCAACCAACCACTGACCTCTTCTCTCCTGCCGTGCAAACATCATCACCAAATTTATTCTTCCCTCCAGGCCTCTGCTTTGGTTGTTTTCTGTGCTTGTCTCCAAAATTGCTCCACTCGTTGACCCCAAGACCCCCCACAAAAGCCCGGCTATGAGGAGGGGAGGGGGATCTTCCCCCCTGCAGATCCTCTGTCAAGGCCCCCTAACCGCTGGGTTACTCCCTCTGGCCCACTCCTTACCACACTGGCTCCTCCCTCACCCCCGAGAACTTTGAGCCAAGTTCTCAAATGCTCCTATCAAAACCCTGACAAGCCGGGCTCGGTGGCTCAGCCTGTAATCCCGCGCCTTTGGGAGGCTGAGGTGAGTGAATTGCCTGAGCCCACGGGTTCGAGACCCGCCTGGGCAGCGAGACCTCTTCTCTACAATAAATCAAAAAATCAGCTGGGCGTGGTGGCGCATGCCTGTAATTCCGGCTACTCGGAAGGCTGAGGCGGAAGGATCGCCGGAGCCCATCAGGCCGAGGCTGCGGTGGCCGGGAGCATCCACTGCACTCCAGTCTGGGCGACAGAGTGAGACTCCAACTCAAAAAAAAAAAAAACTCTGACAAATGCCCCCATCCTTTTCTCTGCCACAGGTCTGGACCGCAATGGGGTGCCTCCCACTGCCAGAGGGGGCCACCTGCCCCTGGAGATAATGTCTGGAAGGGGCTCGCAGCGGCCTCCCAGGGGCCCACCATCCTCAACCCTGGGGGCCAGCAGACGCCCCCGGGCACGGCCGCCCTCAGAACACAACACAGAATTCCTCAACGTGCCTGACCAGGGCATGGCCGGGTAGGTGGGTCGGGTAGGCAGCCCCAGGACGTGGGAAGGGGTAGGAGGGTGTCTGGGGCTGTGACAAGAACCCCCTGTGCCCACAGCATGCAAAGGAAGCGCAGCGTGGGGCAGCGGCCCGTGCCTGGTGTGGGCAGACCCAAGCCCCAGCCTCGGACACACGGCCCCAGGTGTCGGGCGCTGTACCAGTATGTGGGCCAAGACGTGGACGAGCTGAGCTTCAACGTGAACGAGGTCATTGAGATCCTCATGGAAGGTGTGTGCCCCAGGGCAGAGGTTGGGGTGAGGGGAGCAGTCAGAACCCTGAGAGGCAGGATACCCCCCTCAATCACTGCACAGCCTCCCAGGGGAGAACAGAGGTGACCAGCTCACAGCCCCCACCAGACATACCTTCGGCCACGCCAGTGACTTATAGCCTTGATGGCCCCTGGTCTAGAGGTCACCTCCTAAACCACCGCCATCACATCATACCCAGTATCCAAACCTTCTTTTTCTTATCTGTCAAACACAGGGCTAATAGCAGAACCTACCTGGCAGACCCCTTATGAGCAGGAAACGTGTCCTGTCTGCATGGCCCACACTGACACCTCCCTTAGTGCCGTGGGCTCCCCTCCCCCACCCCAGAGAGGCCAGGGACTCATCAGCGCCCACTGCAGGAGGATGAAGAAGCCCCATGGGGTTCAGGGAGACTGGGACATTCCTGGTCCACCCTGAAGGTGGGAGGGGAGGGCACAGAAGGAAATGGATGAGAGACAGGCACAATAAATACTCTAGAAAATGACAGCGCAAGCCGGGCTCGGTGGCTCAGCCTGTCATCCCGCACCTTAGGGAGGCTGAGGTGAGTGGATTGCCTGAGGCCGCGGGTTCGAGACCCGCCTGCGCAACTTGGCGAGAACTCATCTCTACAATAAATCAAAATGAGCCGGGAGTGGTAGCACACACCTGTAGTTCCGGCTACTTGGAAGTCTGAGGTGGAAGGATCGCCGGAGCCCAGTAGGTTGAGGCTGCGGTGGCCGGAAGCAGCCACTGCACTCCAGTCTGGGTGACAAGAGTGAGACTCCAACTCAAAACAAAACAAAAAAGAGAAAATGACAGTGCAGACCCGGTGTGGTGGCTCATCACCACTTTGGGAGGCTGAGGCAGGAGGACTGCTTAAGTCTAGGAATTCTAGACCAGCCTGGGCAACATAGAAGACCATGTCTCTATTTTTTTTTTTTAATGTTTAATTAGCTGGCATGGTGGTGCATACCTGTCGTCCCAAATACTCATAGGCTGAGGTAGGAGGATTGCTTGAGCCCATGAGGTTGAGGCTGCAGTGAGCTCAGTGAGCTGTGATTACACCACTGCTCTCCAGCTTGGGCAACACAGCAAGCCCCTGTCCCTAATAAGAAAGAAAGAAGCCAGGCACGGTGGCTCACACCTATAATCCCAGCATTTTGGGAGGTAAAGGCGAGAGGATTGCCTAAGTCCAGGGGTTTGAGACCAGCCTGGGCAACTTGTTGAGACCTTGTCTCTACGATCAATCAATCAGTCAATCAATAGAAAGCTGGGTGTGGTGGCACGTGCCTGTAGTTCTAGCTTTTACTTGGAAGCCTGGGGTGGAGGATATCCTGAGCCCAGGAGGTCAAGGCTGCGGTGGCCGTGATTGTGCCACTGCACTCCAGCCTGAGACCCTGACTGAAGCTCTCTTCTCCCTGGCAGATCCCTCGGGCTGGTGGAAGGGTCGACTGCATGGCCAGGAGGGACTCTTCCCAGGAAACTATGTGGAAAAGATCTGAGCTGGGCCTGGGATTCCGCCCTCCTGCCCGCCCACCCATCCGCCTGCCCGCCGGGGCCCAGGCACTGCCTGCAGGAACCTCGTTCACCCGAGCTGCATTGGCCTGAAAGTCCAGCCTAAGCCTTGGAGGTCACCGCTGCAGCCCCTTCCCCAGGGCCCTGGCCTCCCTCCACATCACATCTGCTGTCCGAGTTTCCGGTTCTTCATGTTCTTCCAACAGAGCCAACAGCAGAATCTACCTCCCAGAGCTGCCTTGTGATTGTGAAATGAGTTGTGTCCTGTGCTGTTGGCGAAGTGCCTGGCACAGTCGGGGAGGAGTCTGTGACAAGTGTGACTTCGTTCCTTCTCTCGCCACTAAGGCAATAAACGTTTGCCTAGTGAAAGCGTGAATGTACTTACTGAGCGTTCCAACAACAAGGATGATGCTCTTAGCCAGGCACGGTGGCTCATGCCTGAGATACTAACGCTTTAGGAGGCCAAGGTGGGAGGATCACTTGAGGCCAGGAGCTCAAGAGTTCAAGATCAGCCTAGGCAATATAAGGAGACACTGTTTCTACACACACACACAAATTAAAAATTAGCTGGGCATGGTGGCATACACCTGTAATTCCAGCTGCTCTGGAGGCTGAGTTGGGAGGATCACTTGAATCCAGGAAGTTGAGGCTGCAGTGAGCTGTGATGGTGCCACTGCACTCTAGCCTGGGTGGCAAGAGCAAGCCTGTGTTTCTCCAAAGGAAAAAAAAAAAAGTGGGGTGAGACAGGCTCAGTGACTCACGCCTGAAATTCCAGCACTTTGGGAGGCCCAGGTGGGAGGACCACTTGAGCCCAGGAGTTTGAGATGAGCCTGGACAATACAGCCATAGCCAGACATCATCTCTACAAAAAGAAAGAAAGCCGGGCTCAGTGGCTCGGCCTGTAATCCCACGCCTTTGGGAGGCTGAGGTGAGTGGATAGCCTGAGCCCGCGGGTTC